AGGTGGGTAATGAAATGACTGCAAGAAAACCACCAAGCTCAGAGAGCACCAAGGACCCCACAGTCCTTCCTCCTCCTCCTCCTCCTCCTCCTTCTCCTTTCTGCAAACCCCACTCTCTTCTGGCACTGATGACGTTACCAGTTTGGATAATGAAATGTCTGCAAGAAAACCACCAAGCTCAGAGAGCACCAAGGACCCCACAGTCCTTCCTCCTCCTCCTCCTCCTCCTCCTTCTCCTCCTCCTCCTCCTCTTTCTCCTTGTCCTTCTCATTCCTCCTCCTTCTCCTTTCTGCAAACCCCACTCTCTTCTGGCACTGATGACGTTACCAGTTTGGATAATGAAATGTCTGCAAGAAAACCACCAAGCTCAGAGAGCACCAAGGACCCCACAGTCCTTCCTCCTCCTCCTCCTCCTCCTCCTCCTCCTCCTCCTCTTTCTCCTTATCCTTCTCATTCTTCCTCCTCCTCCTTTCTGCAAATCTCACTCCCTTCTAGCACTGATGACATTACCTAGTTAGGTTATGAAACGTTTGCAAGAAAACAGCCCAGCTCAGAGAGCACCAAGGACCCCTCACTCTTCCTCCTCCTCCTCCTCCTCCTCCAATCCACAAACCCCACACCCTTCTAGCACTGATGATGTTACCTAGTTGGGCCATGCAACGTCTGCGAGAAGACAAGCAAGCTTAAGAGAGCACCAAGGTCCCCACATATATACATCCACCTTCCCCCTTCCTTAAAGGTCCCTCTCTTAGAAGTTGAGATACGAAACTCTCCTTCCCTCGCAGGGGCCAAGGCCGCCAGCAGCTGCTTCGTGCTTCCCATGGCAACAGGCATGAGCCTCACTTTATGTTTCTTAACGCTCCGGCACCGAAGACCAAAGGCCCGGTACATCCTCTGGCCCCGCATCGACCAGAAATCCTGCTTCAAAGCCATGGTGACCGCAGGTAACGCCTAACCCGCAGCGTCGGGAGCTCTGCGGGACGCGCGCCACCTCCACACTTCATTGCATTTAATTTACTTGTTTTCTAAACGTGCCTGCGGCAAATTCCACCTTGCAGGGCGAACTGGAGTCACGGCTCAGCTGGTGGGAGCAGACGGGGAAATGGGGGTCGGTCAGCTCAGGTTTTATTAGGTCCACCGTCGTCGTTTCGGGTGATTTAGATAGCGGTTATTTTGGAGGGAGGCGGCAACCGCTGTCACTTCCCGTCACATTTCTTCTGAGTACAGGGGGTCCTCGACTTAGTGGCTGTGATCGAGCTTGTGACATTTCTGTCACAAAACGAGACATCGGTGGAGTGCCCCATTTGACCACCTGGTCTTGCCATGGTGGTTGTTAAGCGAAACATCATGGATGTTAGGTCATGTGGACTTGTGACGTACAGTAGATAATAGATATAGAAGATCAAAGATGATAGAGGTAAATGGATGGATGGATGGATGGATGGATGGATGGATGGATGGATGGATGGATGGATGGATGGATGGA